AAGGAGGAGAAGTGGAGGAGGAGGAGGAGGAGGAAAGGGTCCTGGGTATGTGCGTGAATGCACTCAAGGGGCTGAATACAGCAAGGAAGCAAGCTCTTTTGATAATGGTAACGAAGCAGGCGGCCGTTCCCTTGTGCCTCCCAGTCAATGATTTCGGTGCTGGGGGTCTGCGTCTGTCAACTCCGCCTCGCCAAGAAACGCGCAGAGGCGCCCGAGGGAGCTTCGTTGCCGTAGGAGGCTGATGGGCAGCCTCGCTTCTCGGAAGGTGCGCGTCCGCCAGGAGCAGCCACGCGGTCTGCCTTCTTTGTTCCGTGGCTAGTTTTGGTGTTCCAGGCCCGCCAGATACAGCCACCTGCCTCCGTTGCCCTTCCAGCTTCCTCCTTTCCGGACTTCCATTGTCCTGGGGGACTATGAAATACACCTGCAGGTCAAGTGAAGGCAGAGTGCGTCAGCTGGCATCTGGGTCGGAGAGGCGCCAGGTGGCTTTGGACTTGAGGAAAAACCAGTCCTACCCCCAAAAGCGCGTTGGTCTCTCAGACTCGCCTTTGTCCCTTTGCAAAACTGGCCTCTTGCCAGATGGAAAAGGGAAAGGGGTGATCCAAGACGCTTAGGCAGGGTTCCTACCCAAGGCCTTCTTCCTAAAAGCTGGGGCACCCTCTCCAGAACTGGCAGAACTACCGCTTCTGAATTCCCAGCTTGCCCAGGGAACTATCATTGCACACAGCTGAAGATTGCCAGGATTGCGAATGGGGCTTCTGGGGGTAACAGGGAGGGTGGTGCCCTTCTTTCTCCAGGAAACACCCCTCTCAATCAGGCAGAGATGGCAAGTGGGCACTGGTCTCCTTGCTGACTCCCACCCGTTCCTTTCCCAAATTGCCCCTCCGCCGCAGCCCCCAAATTAAAGCGGCGCTTGTGCGTCTGTTTTCCTTCAGTAGGCTGGAAGGTGAAATGTACGACGAAGAGGGCAACACTCTTTCGGACTATGCCTTTGACAGCGAACCCCTCAGTATAGCCGACCCTTCCTCCATGCTGGACGACGTGTACACTTTGTATTACCCGCCGGAAAAAAGGTGATTTAATATTGCATTTACACATTTTGAAAAAGGCTGCAAGCCAGAACACCTGGGAGCAGTTCTCCAGAAGTGGTGGTGGCGCTTACATCCGAGGACACATCTGTGGGTGTGGTGGGTGGATTTCCCCTGAGCTTCCCAGCGCTTTGTCTCGGAGGAGGGGGAAGAGAGAGCAAGTCAACAGTGTCCCTCTGGAAGAGTCCAGGGTCAGCCCGACAGAACAGATGAAAGGGGGAGGGGGCGCAATACAGTAAGGCAGACAAAATCAGACTTACCTCTCGTCCCCCACCCTGGAAAAGCAAGGAACAGGAGTAGCAGCCATCCGCTTACTTCCTCCAGCCTTTGAAGTCGACAAGAATGGGGGGGGGGGGGGGGGAGAGGCAGCTGGTCCTGACAGCTAGACGCTGTTGCCAAGATTGGTGCGGCCTGATCTCCCTAGGGGGTACCAAGGAGAAGTAGTGGCCAGGCTGATGCCAGAGCCCTCCCAGGGGTCTTTCCCTGCTCCTCAGTGGCTTACCGCCTTGCAAACCAGGAGGGATGTCCATGGGAATGGGACAATCAGCACTGCTTGTTGCCTATTTTAATCTGTGCTCTTAACCCTTCTCCCTTTTAGGCACGCAGATGGGATATTTAATAAAGCCTACAGAAAAGTGCTGGGCCAGTTATCTGCAAGGAAGTATCTGCATTCTCTGATGGCCAAGAGGGTGGGGTAAGGTGTTTTCTCTTGTCTGCAGATTCTTGTTTGTTTGTGCTTGTGTTAGAAAGCAAAACAATCTTCTTTTAAGTAAACAAGACTTAATGACACATTCCCACCCTCTGGGTAGCCAAGTGTATTAAGCAGCCTTAAAATACTATTAGATGCTCAGTAGAAGATCTCTCCCTCTCTCTTCCTCCTCAGGAAGATGGGCACTTTAAACAAAAGGCACTTTCTGTTCACTGGGCATGTGTTTGAATTTTCTGCAGTCCCATGCCTTTGATACAAGAAAATGAATGAAATGCTTTTTGCATCAGAGTACTTAATCTGTGAGAACGAGTTTGGTGTAGAACTGGTTAAGGCATCAGGCTAGAAACTGGGAGACTGTGAGTTCTGGTCCCGCCTAGGCACACAACCAGCTAGGTAACCTTGGGCCATTCACTTTCTCTCAGCCTTAAGGAGGAGGCAATGGCAAACCACTTCTGAAAAAGCTTGCCAAGAAAATTGCAGGGACTTGTTCAGGCAGTCTTTGAGAATGAGACACGACTGAATAGGGTGTGTGGGGGAACCTTAATCTATACACTACTCACATTCCTTCATTCATACAAATGAATTTCAGATTGAGTTGCCAGCCTTCTAGCTGGCCTGTGGTCCAACAGCTTGATTCATCCTGGTAGCTATTGTGTAATGTGCAAGACTTGGACTGTAGGGTTGTGATCCTAAATTTATATTCATGGAAGTAAATTCCCCTTATTTGGTCTCAGTGGGACTTCTTTCTGGATAAATCTGATAGGAGCTCTGATCTGGATGCAAAAGCCAGGTCCCTTGTATAATATTGCTTCCTTAACCAATAACCTCCTTGCTCTTTTTCTTCTCTACAAACACAACCAATGTCTGGGCGCAAAATTCAGAATGACAATCCTTAAAGCTCCCCACAACCCTTTATTGTTATGCTTGTGGTATCAATCTAACTATTGTTAGTGTGCAATCTATTGTCTATGTATTCTGGAGGGGGTCATTAAAATCATTTGGGCTGAATTCCCTAGAGAAGTGGGTTTCTCTGATTTACAACTCTGAATTGTGCCACTATTATGCCTAAATGCTGTTTAATGTGATATCGTTGGTATCTCCCCTTCAGCCTGATTGCATGAAAACCTCAGCTGATAAAACAGCCTTGGTTACTGTACACTTCAGTCCTTTATGGATGCTGCCCCTGCTGCCCCAACTTGCTCTGAGATGAATCAGTGCTAAAGGTCTCTGTCTTAGTGGGAAAAAGATCACATTTCCATTGATCCAGGTATAGCTCCCTCAAGGATTTTGTGGCATGAAAATCAAAAGGACAGGACACGAGAAGGACTTGGGAATAGTCCCTCCCAGTCTTGGTGGTTTGAAATCAAATCTCCTAGGCTGACACCAGCCTAGCATGCACACATGTGTGACAGTACCTATCAGCAGAAGGCAACATTTTAATAAAGGGGGGGGGGGGGGATGTTACACAATTTCTTCATGAATAATGCAGGACATGATGAGCTGGTCTCCTGACTGTCGGCTTGCATTATGATCAGTCTTCAACTTCCGCAGCATGTTTAGATAAAGCCTTTGTTTCCCCTTCAAGAACAGCCTACCACTGATTCCTTTCTGCTCCCGTCCCATGGTCTACATGTTGCTCTAGCTGTTAAACAACCAACCAACCACATAAAGAAGAATAAAAACAACCCTTCAAATCCCACCCGGGCCAAATTCTTTTGGATATGTTTGAGTGATGAGCATAAAATGAATAATGATTGGAAAAACCCATGGATTTCCAACAGGAAAATGGGAATGGGAGAGATTGAGGCAGGCAAACATTCTGGGAGGAGGTTGGGACACTTGGTCTGGACACTTAAGAAGAAGGACTGATGTTCCTCAGCACTGCTACCTAAAATGCAAAGAAAGCAGACTAATCAAAGGTTAAGAGGATCTTCTTAATAAAGGAAGCAAATAAATCAAGGAACTGCTTTAACAATTGGCACACTTGTGAAAAATGCCTCTCCAGAGCCCAGATACTGGGATCTTAGTAACTCCCATTTCCAGTGAAACCATCCAGAGAGATGTTCTCATTCTGCATGCCTGCTGTGCATTATTCTCCTTCCTTGCCCTCCCCAGAGACTTAGCTTCTGCTCTGAGCGGGGCTGCCTAAAAATCCCAACGTTGCACCAACCATGTTTTGCTTTGCTTCCTTTGCCTTACAGTGGAGCCAGCAGCCTGGAGGACGACTCGGAACCACTTTCCAAAAGGCATTCGGACGGCATATTCACAGACAGCTACAGCCGCTACCGAAAACAAATGGCTGTCAAGAAATACTTGGCAGCAGTCCTGGGTAAAAGGTATAAACAAAGAGTTAAAAACAAAGGACGGCGAGTAGCTTATTTGTAGCGGTGAGCTCCCAACCACTCCTGTGTATACAAGAGTCCCCCGGGGAAAAAAATCTGAGAGAGGACCCACCCCTCCCCCAAAGTCATTTCCAAACTGACTGATCAATCACCACTCCCCTATGTTATCTAAACATGTATTTATGTATGAAGTAAAGCCATTAAATGACTATTTTGATAATAATATTGTTTTTCTTTTGTACAAAAAATTAAGAGTAAGCACTAGAGAAACGCACAGATCTACTTTGTGGACCAACCCTTTAAATAAATAGATATAAAATAATTAAATAAAGCATGAATATTAGGGTGAGAATGCATCAGTGATAGAGCTTTCCCCAACCAGATCCCCTTCAGATGTGCTGGATAACAACTCTTAACATCCCCAGCTAGCTACCTTACTATGTGAAAGGTAGCAATTTGGGTGAAAGTCTGGATTAGTGAATAGACTGGACCAATGGTCCTTTAGTGGTTAGCATTGCACAAGAGAATGAGGGCATTCCTCTAAGCTGTTTTATGTTTTTATATAAAATAGAAGAGAGAGAGAGTAAGAGGGAGACAATCATTGTTTTGAATATGATTCCTATTTTTGTAATGGAAAATAAAGGAGAGTATTTTTATTCATGACAGGGTTGAAGGAGTAACTGTCCTCCATTTGCTATTGTACACTGACAAAAATACCCTGTTCCAAGGGGATTATGATGCTCTTGAGCAGACAGTATCTCTGGCCCCAGTGAGTCTCTTCCCAGGCTCCTTTAAAAAGGCCCTCAGTCACCCCCCCTCCCGCCGTCTCCCCATCTAAGGCTAGAGAAGGCTTTGCCCTGCTTTCTTGACCTCTTTTAAGGAATCAGTCTCTCCCCCCCCCCATGAAGAGTGAGCTTACTCAGGGCTGTGCAGTGTGCAGCACGAACCTGCCTGCTGCCCTCTAGTCTTTCTTTGACCCTCCTACACCCACTCAGCAGATCTTCCCGCTCCCTCAAAATTATGGGTGAACTAACCATTTCGGTCCGCTTAAAGCTCAGTACAGAACTGCAGCTGCTCCTGTTCAGTTAGTAAGACAAAAAAGCACCCACATGCATTTCTGGGGAAGGATAGGCTGGGGGAAGCCCTTCCCCTGAACCGTACAGGAAGGGTTGGTTTGTAAGTGTGTCTGCACACACTCATACTCTTCCTTTTCTAGAAATAGCTGTAGAAGTTAGAAAGCTTCCTTAAACAACGGAAGAAGTACCTCTTCCTCAGTTCTTCTGAGTTTGGATTGATGCAATCCAGACTCTGAGTTAAACACAACCCCTCCCCCCGCCCCATCAAACTGGTTCTCTCGCTGCCGCGCAATGGGGGTGATAGAATGGACGGTACCACTACAGGTAGGGCTGGAAGGGGCAGAAAGAAACGCTCTGCCACTAGAAAACCAGTTCATCAGGGAGATGGAATCCAGACGAGACTGTTCGCCTTGCTAGACTTGTTTTCTAGTGACGCACGAATCAGCCGAGGGGCACCCAAAAATTCGCACCTGCGATCTGACGCGGTATCTCCCACGCCCCAGAGATCCAGGGCCACCGCGCGCTACAAAGGATCCCGTGCACCTCTCCAGTGCTGCCCAGGCACCCTCGCATCTTGCTCTGTTGGCCGGCCTTTTCTCTCGGGAATCGCCCGCTCTGGGCCTGGCCAGGGGGAGCCACATTTTCCGCCTTCGGTGTTCCCCGTAGATTTTATGTATCTCTTCCCTCTTGGCCTCTCTCGCAGTGTTGTGTTTTCCATCCGGGTCATTTCAGTTTGTTTTGGCTTGAAAACAACAACGAACAAATTATATTGTGAACGCCTCAGGCATTTTTGAGTTTTGTTATGACGCGAGCTCTAATTGTAAGACCGTTTCAGGCCCCCTCCCCCTGTTGTAGCGACTATATATCTATATCTACTACTAAATACTTAACGCACTATTACGAAAAAGGTTCTTTTAAAATATATATTTTAATTCTTTTGGTTCCTTGTTGATTTATTGAGTTTGGAGGTTTAAAATGTATTTTTCTACATCATGGCTTTAACCGCTTAGTAAAATTTATTTCATACAATCAACTTTTGTCATACTAGAATGTGTAGTGTCCATCTGCGCTTCAGTTTCTGATACCTATCAATCATCTTTCTGTATGGAAGGGGATTTGGAACTGTGATGGGGAGGTGGGTGAGGGGTGGGGATCCTTCAGTGGAGGATATTGAAATGGACTTGGAAGGTACTTATTCTCTTCCCCCCAGGCCCCCACCCTCCCACTCTGGAGAATGAACAGCTAACTGTATCCGCCAATTCAGTTGACAGAATTTGGATTTAATCCAATAAAGGTCCGCTGTGATCAAAAAGCTTAAAGCTGCTCTCCCTAACTCTATTGGAACCAAGCCAAACCCCTGTTCCCCTGTTCATTGGCATATCTAGACCTATGGTGGGCCTGCGCACAACGCCACTCACACGTATGAATGAATGAACTGAAGTCATCCAAACAACCAGGAAAACAAACAGTAAAATCAATCTTTTTGTTTCCACTGAAATCAAGGGCACTTGGCTTTTTAAATAACAGCGCGATCTTCAGTACAAACAAGGAAAATCTGTGGCACCTTCAGCACCAACGAGAACATTCGTTAGTATTTAAGGTGTCAAAAGACCTTTGCTGGCTTCGAATGACAGATTAAAATGGCCTTCCTTCTAGAAAATCTTCACACTTTTCCAGGAGAATTTCCTATTCATTTCAATGGGGAAGATTTCCAATTTAGACATATTTCTTAAAATTCTTCCCTTTTAAGTTGGGTGTTCACCTGGATGGGTGCTAATCCACTGTAAGATTGCCTTGGATTGATTAAATTGTGGTTTAGGGCTGTCAGAATGGATAGAAATTAAGGACTGGATATGAATCTTTTGACGTCCTCATCCCTTTTTTCCCTCTTTGATTGAAAGATGGGTTTAAATCTTGAGGATTTTATTTCCAAAACAGGAGTGGTAAGGAGGACTCTAGTTGCAAAATATTCCCCCCCTCCCTGCCCTGCACACTTGATAAAGCCTGGCTGTATCTCCAGCCACCTACAGTTGATTTCCTCAACATTAATATTTTACACAGCGAGTGACAACGGTTTCGAACAGCTTAATACGTTTAGGCTCGTCCACATCCAAGAGATCACCTTCCTTGTTTACAAAGTGTAACTGCTTCTTCACCTGTTTTGCTTCTAGTTATAAGGCATAAACGAGTAACCACAACAAATTCTCTTAAAGTGCATGTAATTTTTTAAAACATTCTCCTTCCAAAGGTGATCTTGAACGACCAGTGGAACCTTAGTCTGAACTGACCGCTCCGCCTGATTCTACCCAAATAGCCCTTCCCGTAGGAATCGCTAACTGTCTGGCTCCGTCGGCGGGGTCCCTCCGTCGAACATGGGCCGAGAATTTGGGAGCTTGGCACCCTGATCCTAAAGACAGCACCGGGACCCTTGCCACGAACGCGAACAACGCTCCAGGGGCACCCGGTGGGAAAGGACGGGAGCAGGTGCCACGGGGCTGGGAAAAGGAGGCCAGGCTTTAAAGCCCAGCCTAGCCTTGGCTTTGAAAGCCTCTCCCCGTCGCAGCAGGGAATTGCCCCCTCCCCAGGCGGGGCCCCAAGTGCTGCAGCCAAGCGGCGTAGGCAGTTTTCCTTGGGCTCCATGGGAGCCGGCTGAAGCCCGCGGGCCTTCGACCGAAGGACGGAGCGGGGGCTGAGCGCAAGCGCCCTGGAGTTCCGCCTCCCCTTCAGGCCATGTGCTATAGAACGCAACTTTCCGTGCCTTCCCTTCGCCTTTTAAAATCGCCACGAGATCACAGATGGCTATTTAGTGGCCCTACAATGCTGCAAGACATCCGCTTGCCTTTCTTTCTTTTTCTCCCCCACCCCCCTTTTCCTTTTATCTTTTGGGTTGAACTCCTCGCGAGCTGCTTCTCTGACTACGACAACGTGCAGAACTTTTCCTGCCGCGCGCGGTCTTTTTTTAACGTGTGCTTGTGTGTATGTGCCGTGTGCGCGCGCGCGCGTCACATGCTTGGTGCGGAGACGGCAACCCCTCGGGCTCTATTTTTGACGTGCTCGTAGCAATCAGCTTCGCCCCGCCAGTCAGTGGGCTAGTTAGTGGCAGCCTGTCCGCCGGGGTAACGTTTTTCCACCCGGCCAGTGATCGCCTGTTTGTATAATAGCTACCGCCAAGAGCCTTAAATCCAGTGGATCCCCTTTGGAAATCCAGTGATCACTGAGGTTAGATGTCAGTCTTTTGGAAATATTTATAACTATATATCTATTTTTTCCTCTCTTTTTCTGTGTAGCAACTTGAGTATCACAAAAAGCACTGCGACAAGAACAAAAAATATGGTTATAAGCACTCATGGTCTCCCGATCGCTGGGACTTTGAGAACTGTTATTTTAAAGTGTGTAAAGTTTGTATTAATAAATTTTTGTAAACAATGCAATTTCGTCTACTGTTTGGGGGAGGCTGTGCAAAAGAGCCGTTTAAGTTAGTCTTGTTTTTAAGTCTACATTTCTAGTCCTTCTTTGAAGCTATAGAAAAAGCCTGCTTCTCTTGACGTGCTTTTAGTTCTGCTGCATCCTGTGGGTATCAGAAAATCATCCAAAGACCCCCCACAAACGCTGGTTTCTTACAAAGATGAGAGTGTGCCCAGAGATTTAATTGCAGCTCTCTTGAAAAAAAAATGGCATAAATTTTCAGGTCTCTGGCTTTAAAGCAACCTTCCTTAGAATCCACAACCAATTTAAATTGATTTAAATACATATTAATATTTATTGATCAATCATTAATTTATTATGCGTTATTTTAAATATTAATTTATATTTTAAATAGTAATCCATAACGTGGATGTTTGCATTCACCATTCGCAGCCACCATTTGGCTTGGAATTATGGAAACTCTGGTCAGTTCTATCTACCAAGTCTGAGAAGGCTATTTTGGGCATTAGTCTGAGAGGTGATATAGTGGTGCTGGTGGCTGAATCCAGAGAAAAGTATTGACCATGTCTCTGTGTCATTGAAATGAATTGCACAGGATATGCAGCCTTATCCTAAGCAAGTTTACTAAAACAAAACACCCTCATGGGGACTTTCTTCTGAATAAACCAGATTAGTGATGCCTTCAGGGTAAGGACTTGGAGCCCAATTCCAGGAGCTAAGGCAGTAGAGGCATTCATTACATTTCTGCGTGAAATCATACACATTACTGTCTAAAGAGCAGAGAGGAGGAAGGTGGGAATGCCCACTTCAAATGGTTAAATTCAGAGTTTAAAATTAACTTATTGCAGCATTGAAGAACAATATTCTGCATTTCTACAGGAATTCAGCTGACCTTTTTATAGATTATATGCTAATGAGCTCAGACTTACTTATTCCAGAGCAAAACAAATGGAAACAAGTGGATTGATTCCAGAGTAAAACATGCTGTTTTCTTTCTGGAGACATTTCAGAGGAATCCCTGAGGAGTTTAGCCAGACTTCCACCTGCATGCATTTTTTAGCCTCACAATCCTACTTCATAATCATCACAATTAAGACTGTTCTAATGGAACTTCACAGCTTTAAACAAGTAACCTTTGCCCAATAAAAACCCCTAGTTATTTAACAATGCTTTTTATCATAAAAAGGATAGATTTTATTCTGTTGCCTTTGATAGGCAGTGATAACCAAGTTTTATACACTTTTTTTTATCCTGCCTTTATTATTTTTATAAATAACTCAAGGTGGTGAACATACCTAATTCTCCTTCCTCCTCCTATTTCCCCCACAACAACAACCCTGTGAGGTGAGTTGGGCTGGGAGAGAGTGAGTGGCCCAAAGTCACCCAGCTGGCTTCAAATGTTATAGTCAGGCGGGACTAGAACTCAAAGTTTCCTGCTTTCTAGCCTGGTGCCTTAACCACAAGACCAAACTGGCTCTTGAATAACACTTTTAAATTAGACCTGATTATTTTATCTTATTATCTTATTATTTTATTTATTATTCTTATTATTTTACTATTATTTTATCTGATTATTTTAT